GGAGAGATGGAATAGAAGGAGTYTGGGCCACAACATGTCCAGTATAATTAGCCTAGAGCGCCTGCATCTCCATTTAGAAGCTGCAGAAAGCAAAGACTCAGGGCACATCTCCCACTGAAGCCTGGCGTTATTTATGTCGTGCAGCGTGTATGGGCTAAAAAGGGAAATATATTTTCTGAAAGAATCTTCCAGGCTGGAAATTTAGAACTCTTTGCTTGAATCCAAATGTATATTACTTAGTCTCCACAGGAAAGTAAAGACATATTAAGTCATATGTCTGCTGAGTTGAATTATTCATGGTGAACTAAACATGTTGGACTCAGAGGTTCATCAATTTTATAGTCCTGTTTGTTAGAAAATTACCCCCTTTTATCTGTTCGGACTCACTTTTTATTCTCTCTCCCTTTTATTATCTCTTTTATTTGAGTTGGTGATTGCTGGCCTGGCTAATAGCTTTCATCTTTGTCCTGCAAGCTGTTTCCATATGTGCAGGTGCTGGGGAATTTATTGACTTTGCATTGAAAAATCAGGGTTGATTCTCAAAGCAGAATTAAGGTACAAGATTTAGCATGCTCTACCTGCAGTGGAAGATACCTTTAAATGCTGGGTAATTCCAGTGTAAGGTCAAAATTTGTTTGTGGCAGAATTGTGGCATTTTCTCTGGAAAAGATAAGGAAAAATGTCCTGTTTAACTCACCTCATTTTCTGACTTACAGTTTTCAATATTTTGTAATTCATGGGGTGTTTTTAGCCTTGCAAATGCCAAAGTGAGCACAGAAGTCGCATCTAATCTGCTGATATGATGACTGTCATATCTAGCRAAGTCAGTGGAAAAAAAAGTCAGTGAAGACCATGAACCTTGATTATTGCACTGAAATTAATGCGGAGAAAGTTGTACTGAAGTTAATGTGCGGCTACCCTTCCGAGCTGCCCTGGATGGGCCACAGTTATCCCTGACGTTGGTCCAGGGAATCTGCAACCTGGGAAAGGGCAGAAGAGCCAGAGCTTGTTCATTTGCTGGAAACCTCGACAAGAGGCAGAGGCTGCTTTGTAAACCCTGTTGATGCAGACTGGTTTTTGTGTTTGATTAAGTAATTATTGAAGCAAACTTCTCCRGAGGAGGGTGGATTTCCCTTCCCGGGATGTCCTCACACCTGCCGTGGGCGCCTTCCTGTGGGAGGCTGGAGGTTAAACCTGGTCCTTGCGTCAGTGTGAGCACCACTGAGTCACGGCTCGTGTGATGCCGGGGCCGGACTGGGTAATGAATCTTTGWCCGGGATGAGGACACATTTTAGCCAGCAAATAATTCACATCTCTCCCGTTCTTGTTTTTCTTTTAATGAGAATTTGGTGAGAAAGGAGGTCATTCATTCCCTTAGAGGAACGGATTAGATCTCGTGTCAGCAAAAATAGGGAACAGATTCCACTGAAGTCAATGCTATTAAGGAATTGCACATTGGATTTAATTAGGGCCTTCCTCCCCGTTGAAGCTCCTGTACTGCTCTTGAATGACACTGACCTCAGTAAAACACAAGCAGCCAAAACGACCTTAACAGAATCGGTTCATTTAACTAAAAGCGGCAGCCTGAGCAGCAGGTGGAAGGGTTAAACAAAAGGAAAAAAGATTATAAAAGTTTGCGGCTTTGGCCTCACTACAAATGGCTCTCTTGCAGACTTTATAGCATTAGTGTTGCTTCTCATAAACCTTGAAACCATTCATCCACTTAGAAAGATTAAATTGGTTAGTCATCCAGAACATAAAATATAGACATCCATTTTGTCTGTTACCCTAACCCTTCTGAAGTATAATAAATGCCTTATTGCAATGGTGCCATTAAAGCAAGGGACTGAGGATTAATGACGGCCTCAGTTGTTGCAGTTACAATTTTCCAGCTCTTGTGTTTTTGATAGCAGAATCATCTGTCATGGCTCAGGGCAGTAAGAACAGAGCCTTTGGTTTGGAAAACACAACTCTAATATATAACGTGCAGAGGTCACAYAAAACATGTTGGCATTAGAGCAGGGAAAAACCCCAGAAGTGTCATATTATTTGTCATTCTTAGAAGGTCAAAGTTAACCGAGACAAACTTACAATATCTTAATATATTTATAAGGCTCTATTGTAAACAGCTTGCGAGGACGGATTTGTTTTGTTTTCCAGTTACAGACGAAGCTGCTGCTGTTTAAGGGCAGCCCTGTCTTCATGTCTGTGGCATCCAGTCACTTAAACAAATTTTTTTTCTTAAAAATGGCCAGACTCTTCTGGGGCAGGGAGTTTTTCAAGGCTCTAGACACAGGGCAGATTCATGATTAGAAAGATGACAAACATGTAGATTTGATGCAGCAGGTTTCCCTGTAGATCAATATCCAGATTTCAGAAGTAGTGCCCAAATCAAGTAAATTTGCTCTGCAGTTGTTGCTTGAGATCACAAAGAAATTTAACACCTGCTGCCTGGAAATATATAAGACATTATCTCAAATACAGACATCTGTAGTGTCACGGACAGCAAGACTCACATGTTTTAAAAGTACTACCGATAGTGCCTTTTCTCAGAGCATTAAAACTGGGCATCAATTTGTGTGTGAGATTTCAGGGCCATTCTGCAAACACCAGCGCATCCTTGCAGGAAACGGGAGCTGATGCCTCCCATCAGCTGTCACTGGCAGCAAAGCAGCAGGGCAGGTGAGCAGCAAGGCAGCCCAGCGCCATTCTGCAAACACCAGCGCATCCTTGCAGGAAACGGGAGCTGATGCCTCCCATCAGCTGTCACTGGCAGCAAAGCAGCAGGGCAGGTGAGCAGCAAGGCAGCCCAGCAGCAAGGTAACCCAGCAGCA